GTGTGCTTCCGAATTGTAATCGTCTTATTTTCAATTGAATTGAAAAACTTTTGAAGCAATTCTCCTGTGTTCATCTTCTTCCTCATCTTAACTGTGTGTTCTTGGTTTATTTTACTCTGTTTTGTTCTTAATATTGTTTCCGCTGCACTTTAATCGTCTTAAAGTTCATTCAGAGTATTAGATCAAATATCAAAGCTGAATTTACAGGTCCAACAATTGGTATCAGAGCAGAAATTTAATTCTTATTCGATTAATTCTGTTTTTGGTATTAATCTGTATTTTCTAGAACACCAGTTCTCTTCAGATTACCCTGTTTCATTCTATTAAATCAGTTTCATCTTGTTCCTATTTTTTTCTTCTAATTTCAATGGCGAACTTGGCTAATACCTCGTTGATGAGTACTGGATCTCAATCAAAACCTCCCACGCTCATCCGTGAGGAGTATCCGCAATGGAAGGTACGAATGATCAACTTTTTAGAGGGAATTCACCCCAGAATCTGTGAATTTCTCTACAATCCTCCTTATGTGCCAATGAATCTGATTCCAAGAGTTCCAGCTACTGGTACAACCCCTGAAATTCCTGAGCATTACGAGCCTAGACCTATTGCTAACTGAGTGATGAAGATAAGATATTGGTTGATTTGGGCAGCAAATGCAAAAGGTTGTTAATCATGGCAATACCTCACGAGATCTTCAAATGTATTGATTACTGCCAACTGTCCATGGATATTTGGGTAGAATTGGAAAAACAGATTGAAGGAGGTAAGAAAACTCTAAAGAACAATCGAGCCATTTGCAATGATGAATACCACAACTTCAAGGCTAAGGAAGGTGAATCCCTGTCAGACACATATTCCAGATTAAACACCTTAATTAGCAACTGCAAAAGGTATGGAGTAATGAGAACGGCAGAGGACAACAACTCTCTGTTCTTGTAGAGCCTTGGAATTGAATGGATGCACCTAACCATATCTATGAAGGCCACCTTGGATTTGGAAGTTTGGACTTTGGCTGACTTATTTGGTTCTCTTAAAAGTCAAGAGCCTCAAGTACTTCAGATGAAGAAGAACTATGGTGGTCCGCTTGCTCTGGTTGCAGAGGATGGCAGCTTTGGAAAGAAGGAAGAGAAGGAGAAGAAGAAGAAGAAGAAGATCCTGATAGCTGAGAGTGAGGAGAGTTCTGAAGAGGAAGTCTCGATGAAAGAGATGATGAAAACTCTGGCCTTGATCACCAGAGAATATAGAAAGAGTGGTGAAAGGAAGGATTACAAGAGTTTCAACAGAAGAAACTTCACAGAGGGTGGTAGATCTGAGGCAAGTGAGAAGGAGCAGAAGCCTTCACAGAAGATAGAGGAGCAGAAGAAGGAAGAGTCGAAAGAAGGATGCTTTAGATGTGGCAAGCCAGGCCACTTTGCTGCAGATTGTTGGTCAAAAGGGCCAAAGGCTCCACAGAGGGGTCCAAGAGATGCAACCTTCTACAAAAAGAAGGCTGACTACTATCAACAGAAGTCTCTGCTAGCTCAATCGAGTGAGTTAGTAACTGATGAATCCTCTGATGAAGATGATCAGAAGGGTCTTCTTGCTTGAGAAGACTCGGACACAGAGGATGAGCTCTTTTGTGGGATGGCAAAGATCGACTCCGACTCCTCTGAATTAAATGACCAAGAGGTTTCTACTTCTTACTCTTCTGAATCAATTGATCTTTACACAGAGATCATCGATAATCTTGATTCTTGTCATTTGGAACATTACAAGCTAAAAGAAAAACT